AGGCAAGTCCTTCCCCTTCCAATAGTTCCAACTTTTGAACACCTTTTTAAAAATTGTGTGTGTGTTACCCTCACAACAACCCTGTGGGGTAGGTTAGGTAAAGAGGGGGGCTGAGAATTCTGAAAGAGCTGTGACTGACCCAAGGTCACCCAGCTCACTTTTGAACACCTTTTTAAAAATTGTGTGTGTGTTACCCTCACAACAACCCTGTGGGGTAGGTTAGGTAGAGAAGGGGAGATTTGGCCCGGGGTCACTCAGCCAGCAGAGTGAGAATACAAACCTGGGTCTCCCCACATCAATCTGCAACTCTGACCACTGTGCAGTGCTGCCTCTACTGATCTGTAATGTTCCAGAGGTGTTGTAATGTAATAGTTTCTCAAACAAGTGTATGCCTGTCTGTTGGTCCACTTAGGAGTCTTGATCGTGGTTGTGTCGTGGTTTGGTGTAGTGGTTAAGTGTGCGGACTCTAATCTGGGAGAACCAGGTTTGGTTCCCCACTCCTCCACTTGCACCTGCTGATGTGACCTTGGGTCAGTCACAAGCTCTGGCACAGCCATTCTTGAAAAAGAGCAGTTTCTGTCAGAATTCTCTCAGCCCCACCTACCTCACAGGGTGTCTGTACTGTGCAGTGCTGCCTCTACTGATCTGTAATGTTCCAGAGGTGTTGTAATGTAATACTCAGTTTCTCAAACGAGTGTATGCCTGTCTGTTGGTCCACTTAGGAGTCTTGCTTCTTCTTGTGTGGTGGGCTAGTTGTGGCAAATGGTAGGGAAGCTCAGTATTTCTGTATACAGTTGTAGGGGCTTTGTTGCAATGTGGTATGGCCTGATATTATGTTCTTATTCCAGTGTGGGGTGTGTGGGGGGCTTTCAAAGTTTCTAAGCAATGTGCTAAGAAGGCAACTGTTCCTGGGGTTAGCCCAGGCCTCCCTAAATTTCTGGGGAGCCCATCCCTAAATCCCACATGGGTCCACCTCCATAGATAGTAACCATGCCTGTGATATCACTAGCTCCTCCCTATGATGTCATTGGGTCCCAGTTCTTTTAATGACTTAGCAATGCCTCTGGCCCGCTTGCCAATCCCCCGGGCCCGGCCCCGCCCCCCCCCCCCGGGAAATTGGAAAGTCTACACCCTTGGTCGGCACGGTCAGATTTGCACTTCTATTACAGTGCAAACCTAAACATTTGCCCTGCTTAGGATGGCACTGTTACATTGCACCTTAGCAGAAGAGCAATCAAAAAGCTTGATTAAGAGAATTGAGTGGTAGTTTTACAATTTAATTACTGTTCTTTATAAAAGGAAGTCTACGTGGTTGTCTATTGAGAGATATGTCTAGGTTGAGGTACCAAGCAGTTACTGGATCTAGATCAGTTTGATCTATGTGTAAGTCTTAGCTGTCATGCTAAGTGATTAAGGCAATTACAGCCAGGTGTTAAACTACCAGGTGTTACTCTTCTAGCATTGTTAGAGTAGGAAATTAGTTTATCCTGTTAGTGATTGGCTGGGGTTAGTATATAAACTATCAGCTTGATAAACTGGGTGGGGGACTTAGTTCTCTCCGACTAAGGTATGTTATGCTGTAAGACAGTCTGTATATCTCTGTGTAAATATTCACCATTATCTCTAAGTAAACTTTATGCACCTTCATCACCAGTTGGTCTCCAGCTTCTTCTTTACTGCACCCAATAGTGTCATCCCAGCGTACAGATCAGAACATACACCTAAAAGACTTACACTTACTTCTGAGTAAACATGCATCGGATTTGGCTGCACGGGACCTAACGCAGGAGGGCAGTCGGTTTCCATCGCTCCGAATACCTACAGATAGGAAGTGCTGTTGTTCTTTTTCAGCCTTCAACTCTCCCGAAAAATTACGCGAAGATGTGACTCTGAAAAGTCCTACTACAACATGTACCAGCCGTTAACGAAACCACAAATGGGAAAGCGTGCCCTGCCCGACGAGTGCCACAAGCCCCGCGTGCAACGCGGCAGGATGCACCACCCAGCCAAGCGGGCTCTCCGCCTCCCCGAAGAAACGCGCCAGTCCGCCCAGCGGCTCCGCGTCCTTAAACTCTTGCTCCGTCTCAACTTCAGCCGCGTCCTTGTTTACCGCGGGCCACCTTCCCTCCCTCTCCCCCGGCCGGCCGAGCTCCCAACTGCCGACGCCTCCCCTTCAGATTTCCATTGGGCTGCCAGGCCGGGGCTTTCTCCTCCTTCCAGCTGTGCGCCCGAGCGCGCGGCCGCCCGGCCCCGCCCTGTCCCGCCTCCGGAGCCAAAAACAGCTGCGGCGGCGCTGGGGGAAGAGAGGGGAGCAGCAGGGCAGCTTCGGCCGCGCCGGCCCCCTCTCTCCCGGCGGCGAAATGTCTCACGGGGTGCGGGTGATCCGCACCGACGTCAGCAGCGCGGGCGCCTCGACCTCTTCCTCCCCTCCGGACTCCGGCCGGCTGGACCGAGCCTACGCGAGCTCCTGCCCGGCCATGCTGAAGGTGGTCCAGATGGTAAGAGGCCAGGGGAGTCTCGGGGAGGTTCGTGGCGGCCTCGGCGCCTCCGGCAGCGCGGCCTTTTCGGATGTTTGGTCGCACGCGCTCTCCCGCCCTCTCTTCAAGGCGCGGGAAATGCAGGTGCGCCAAGTTTCTCCCAACCCAAGTTGGTGTTTTGGTCACACCTCGAGCTATGGCAGGCGCCTGCGTAAAAGGATGAGAATGGCTGCGCGGGCACGTGCAGAGTGCCTTTCCCTTGCCACTGTTCGCCCCTCTCTGGCTGAAGTTAGGAGACCAAACTGGGTTTGAACTCTTCTGAAGAGAGTGAACGAAAACCCCAGATGAGCCCTGGCCGCGGCGCTTCTCTGTCTAGAAATTAGCACTTGGTTCTGTCTTCACTTTTACTATGACTAATATTTGGGTTTGCTTTGTATCTCATGACTTATATGGAAGCTTTGTGTTAGAATTTCTCTCCTTTACATCCCATCCTTCTGCCAAAGAGTTCAGGGCGGCCTACAGGTGGGCTATCTCATTTTATACTTTCAACTACCTTGTAAAGGAGGGTAGGTATTGAGTGTGCGATGGATACCATACATCACAGAGAGACCAAAGCAATCCGCTAGACCACACTGGCTTCCATTTTTGAGAAGCAGTTCCCTTTGAATTTAGGTAGGTGATGGTTTGATACACATCTTGTTGCGTGTTAAACATGAATTATTATGGCATAAACCTCTGGGACCAGAGGTCATTTCATAGAAAAAGAGCTAGGGGAACTCATTAGCATAACTCATTAGTATATGCCACACCCCCTGACATCAGGGGCCCAGCGGTGGACCTGCAAGACCGGCGGAAGTGCGAGGAAGCCCCGCCAAGGCCCTCCCTGGCCACAGGCAGGCAGGGGTGGGGAGAGGCGGGGAGGAAGCAACTTATCCTCCCTCTTCTCCTGCCTCCTCCTGGCTGAATCAGGGCTGGAAGTGGGGTGGCCAGAAGCAGGGGGCGGGGCTTCTTCATGTGCCCTGCCCCTGCACCTCACCGGGGGGAACTGCGTTCCCCCCCAAATGACCTCTGTCTGGGACCATGTAGTCTTCAAGGTATCATGGGACTTTTGATTGTTCTGGATGCAGCAAAACTAATGTGGCTAACCCTTCTGGAGTTTGGCCTAGCCATGTGGTTTAATTTGCAAGTGTGCATCCTGGAAAGTAACAGGTGGCCAAAGTACCCCCCCCCCCCCCCCCCCCCCCCGCTGCACTGCTTGAAAATAACTATTGTGATGAAGCAGCAATTACCTTTTTAAAAATAAAGTCCCCCAGTGGGAGATGGTAGTAATGAGTGTGGAGGGCAGGCTGAGGAAGTAATCACTGGAAACTTGTCATGTGGTTGCTTTCTTTTGAACCAATCCGACTTGTCCTGCTTTTTGCCATACGTCTGTGATGTCTGAAATGCCATCAGCGGCTGTTTTAGGAGCTCTGTGATACGGGCACTCTTGCATGTGTGAAAGGTGGTAGGTTCCTCAGCTATAAGTCTGTCTTCTTCTTCTCCCTCTCCTGCTCATTGTGACAGATCAGTTCATGAGGAGGTGGCCGACATGGTGAGAGAATGGCCGTAATAACTGTTTTGTGGCAATGGGAGCAAATAGAATACATTTTTACAGCGCCTGTAATAGGAAACTGTGAAAACAGTCTGGTCAGGAAGCTGCTATCAGCGGTTCTCTTCTTAAGTATTTAGAATGTAGCAGTAATGTGGCACTTGAAAGTTATTGGCTCCTAGCCTGGTTTGTAAAAGAAAGAGTGGAGAGTTCTCTCCCTGTGGCCATTTCAAACATTAGACTGAGGCAGCTTGCTGCGGTTTCGTTTCTTTTTTGTTAAGTGTACATTTAAAACTAATTAGGGCCAAAGTAGATGTGATTTGGTCAGCTGTGTTTGTTCCCACAGCTAAGTGTGTTCATACATAAAGCAGCTGTTGTTTGTGCGTGACCACTCACACATAAAATGGGAGATGGGTTTAATTTTAACTTGAAAAGGGGAGTATATAATTTTTATACTGGGTGCTAATCACGAAAGCAGCAAAAGTAGCCCACCTGTGGCCGGACTGACTTCTGCATGCTCAAGGGATTTCCCCAAGATTGTAAAAAAAATATGACTTTGCAAATTAATGAAAAGGGAGGGGGGGAACTCCCTACAATTTTGATATTTAACCTAATTATGAGTTCAGTAGCCAGAAATAAAACACCACATTGCTGTAGTGATGGGAATCATCAGGGTTAAAACAGGAAGTCTCAGATGTGTGTTTCCTGTCCAGAAGCAGGTTGGAAAAGAGGGGTTTTTTCTGTTAGCTTGTTGCTCTGAACTTGCAAAAGAATAACAAAGAACAAACTAAATCAGCAGTTGCACATGGTAACTCAGATGCTGAGAGATTTAGAATGGTGGTCTGCTCAAAGACATAATGATCTGGCTGTTTCCTATTTTACTGAGTCTCTCACCTTGCAAATTCATGTTGCTGTGTAAGGGGCTTTATCTGGGAAAGATAAGTCTTCCAGGGTTTTTTTTCTTTTGTGGTTTCCTCCCACACATTGACTTTTTGCTTTGTAAGAAACCCCTGTTTCTGAAGATTTTTTATTCTGGAAAGATCATTTAAGTTTTCCTTTTTAAAAATACTTCCCAATCTAGAACCCTGTGGATTTCAGGGAGTGTGGCTTTGCATTGTGGATACAGAGCTGATGCCCACTAAAAAAAAATCGGTGCAGTTCTTTTCTAGATCTGGGACACAGTGGTGTGTGTTCTGGAATTGTTCATTGAATCAGTATGAAAGAAGTCACACTGGAGTGAAAGAGCGTAAAAGCTTTTTGCTGGTGGGCAGCTGCAAAATTTCCCAGTGGCTTTTCTGCAAATAAATATTCAAAAATGTTTTGCCTGTGAATTTAGAAATCCGACTGGAGTAGAGGGGTGCTTATCCATTTATCCTTGGGCTGTTTTCCTAATCAAAATCCTGCTCTGCTTCCCTTATGTTTGTACGTGAATCAGTATGGAGACCTTTGTTCAAAAGCTGCCAATGTTATTTGACCATCTGCCTATTCAATCGATTGTGGCCTTTCTTCTTTTGGTGCAGTGGTTAAGTGTGCAGACTCTAATCTGGGAGAACCGGGGTTGATTCCCCACTCCTCCACTTGCACCTGCTGATGTGACCGTGGGTCAGTCACAAGCTCTGGCACAGATGTCCTTGAAAAAGAGCAGTTTGTGTCAGAGTTCTCTCAGCCCCACCCACCTCACAGGGTGTCTGTTGTGGGGAGGGGAAAGGAGTTTGTAAGCCACTCTGAGACACCTTTGGGTAGTGAAGTGCGGGGTATAAATCCAATCTCTTCTTCTCTTCTTTATACCTTCATGTATGTACCTGTAATTTGTCAACCAGGTCAGTGCTTTGTTAACTGATAGCAAACAGAGGCTGCGATTCTTCTCCTGCCAAGCAGAGAGCAAGGGGCTCACTGCAGGGCTGTGAGAATTAATGGTCCCTGTCATTTCTCTCTCCTTCCTCTTTCCCATCCCGGGCATTCCACTGCTGTGCTGGGCATATTACAATGCATCAGACCATTCACAGGAAGTGGAAACCCTCCCAGTGGTTCACCGTGAACTTTCCAGCTGCCTGGGCCCCTTTGCCTAAGGGCCTCGATTGGCTATGAATGATAGGACCAGAGCAGGGCAGGATTGTAATTCAGCCACTGCAGAGGTCCTCTGCATTCTCATGTCTGCCTGCGTGCTGAAGGAACCAGATTTGTGACAAAAAAGCTCTCTGTGGCAACACAATCTTTATAGACGATTTATTGGTTTGCAGAAGCCATCCGATCTGAATTTTAAAAGGTTATAATAATTCTTCCACCGTTTTTCTCCACCTACTATTTAAATAAAGTCTTTCTAAGTAGGTGTAAGGCATTAAGAACTGCTTAAATAAGGACGATCTCCTGCCTGAGTGAAGTGCTGTTGGCAAAGGGAAGAGCCGAGCCCTGCCCTGCCCGGCACAAATGTTTTGAGAGAAGCAGGCTAGGCTAATGTGCCGCTTAGTGCTTTGTAGAGCTGTAAATGCAGAGGCAATAAATTCAGTCTGTCATTCCTGAAACTTTTAAAATGGACAGTCCTTTTTGTTATCTGTTTTGACTAGAGAAAATTCAACTGTTACACACCTCTCAATTTAACTACACTGTGAAAGGAAAAACCCATTATACACAAATTGGCTTTGTTGTCTCAAATAATTATGTTCGCTCCACATAACTTACACCATTATATCTTGGGCCCTGGGCCCTGAACTTTTTCTTTGTTTGCTTTGGGAAACTATTCAAACAAATCATTTCATTCTTTCAAGCAAAACAAAAATAGATGAATAAAACAGTGCAGTGTTAGGAAGGCATGAACAAATGCTTGATGCTTCCATGCAGTGTCTTGGGGTGGAGGCTCTTGTTTCAAAAAGCTTTCCACGTTTTAATATATGTGGTTTAGAAGTAACACCTATGCAGGTTAACAGTCAGTGGCATCCCGTCAGTTTGAGGATCTCAGAAGTTTCTTGTGACACTCTCCCCAGGTATATATATAGGGTTACCAGCTGCAGGTTGGGGAACCTGGATGTTTTGGGGATGGAGCCGGAGAAGGGCAGGGTTTAGGGAGGGATTTCAATGAGGTATAACACCATAGAGTCCACCTTCCAAAGCGGCCATTTTCTCCAGGTGAAGTAATCTCTGTCATCTGGATATCAGTTGTAATACCAGGAGATCTCCATGCTCCACCTGGAGTTTGGCAACCCCAATATATACCATTGCTTGTTTGGTGAGAGGGGAAATCAGTCACATTGGACCAGGAAAAGATGGTTAAATTATGGTTTCAGTTTGCAGTATATAACTGAGGACTGTAGTTTGCCGCTTAGTGAAAATAGCTCCCCCCCAAAAAAAAAAACCCACTTAATGCCTCTGCTTCTGCACACCTAAAAAGTGATATCTGATTCTTTGGCACATTAATATCACCCATGCTCTTGGAAAGTTTATAGGCTGCTGCTGACCATGAGTGAGATCTGTATATCTGTGATTAAGGAAGTAATGGCAGTGACTCTTATTGTTTATTGTAATAATAGTAATAATGATAATAATAATTTTGAATCAACCACCTGCTCCCCCCATATTTTATATGAATTTTTCAGCATCCCCTTCTGTGACTTAAATTCTTTTATGCTGTCAATGGTACAAATGGTGCTTCAAACCGTAGTATTTTAAGTGGAGTTATGGTTGGCTATTGACCTGGAGCTAATCTTCCATTGTTTGGTCGTCTTAGTAGAATGCTCAAGAACCACTGATAGCCTATACTGGATGAATGTAGTTTTGTACCAGGGCTTGTTAATACTTAGACACTTTGTGATAGTTTCTCATTAAACTATTTGTCACATTCCCGATGTTTCACAAATGTAATCCCTTCGTAAACTAATTTTTGAATATGAGATCCCATGTCTTTAGTCCAAATTTTTATCCTGCCCTTCGTCCAAAGCTCAGGATGACGTACATTGGTCTCCTCCCTCCTTCTGTGCTGCCTTTCAAGAACCCTGGGAGGTAGATTAGACAGAAGACGTGTCACTGGCCCAAGGTCACCCAGCTTTGTGGGTGTTCCAGATCACTGTTTGATGTGCCAACTGCTGTACCGTACTTGCTGTTAGACACAGAGCTGTGGGGTGTACTTGTAGACAGCATAGCTCCCCTCTTAGAAAAAGGTTGTACCTTTCGCTCCCTCTAAGCTGTGGAGTCTTGTGAGTAAAAATTCTACTTTGTGAGCTACTGGCATTAAAGTTGTGAGCGAGCGATTTGGCTAATGCATAAATCAGTTTGCTTTGGAGCCGTCCTCCCTGAGCTAAGACAAAAATGTGTGAGCCAGAGGCTAAAAAACTGTGAGCTAGCTCACACTTGCAGCCATGTCTACCGTTCACAAAATGTACAGCATTGATTTTTGTAGTAAAGTCTGCTTGTGTCTGCAAACTTGCTATATATTTTCACATGAGTTTAACTGATTTCTTTGGTCAGGTGAACTTGTTGTTCCTTGACCTATAAAATAGTGGCCTGAATCCAGCTGCACAGTTTTGACTACCTAAAGACAATGAAATTTACTTTTTTCCAGGGGTCGTTTCGTAGAAAAAGAGCTAGGGGAACTCATTAGCATAACTCATTAGCATATACCACACCCCCTGACATCACTGGAAGTGTGTCATAAGGCCACACACCTCGCCCCCAACGGTCCCGGCCGCTGCCGCCGGCCTTGCAGCTCCACTGCCGAGCCCCATGAGGGGCCCGGCGGTGGACCTGCAAGGCTGGCGGGAGTGCAAGGAAGCCCCGCGAAGGCCCTCCCTGGCCCCAGGCAGGCAGAGGTGGGGAGAGGCAGGGAGGAAGCAACTTACCCTCCCTCTTCTCCTGCCTCCTCCTGGCTGAATGAGGGACGGAAGCGAGGCGGCCGGAAGCGGGGGGCGGGGCTTCGTCATGTGCCCCGCCCCCTGTACCTCACCCAGGGGAACTGTGATCCCCCGCGTTCCCCCCCGAAATGACCTCTGCTTTTTTCTTTTTTTAAAAAATGGGGTGGCGATTTCCTTCTGCTCTTCCTGAGCTCAGTGTTCCCTCTAAGCTGTGCGGGTGAGCAGCCGCTCATTAACACAGGAAGCCCCACTCAGCAGCAGTCTGGAGCCGCGCAGAGCCTTGCACTGCCCATTGCCCATTTTAAGATTACAGCAGTTATAGTCTGCTCAGGATGTGAACTGCTCTGCTCAGGGAGGGGGGAATTAGGGAAGTCATTGACTGAGCCCCCTGAAATTTCCTTCGGGGGGGGGGGTCAGCATTCCTTCAGGAACGGCAGTGGTCATGGGCATTGTTGGAAATCACCTTTTAAGAACACATAAGTGACCTTATGTTTTCAGAACGGCATGGCTGAATACAATCCTACATTTAAAAAAAATGTTTTAGCTTTATTACACTTGAGCTTATTCCCTTTGTGGCTCTTGCCTTTCAGTTGTTGCTGCTGATAGCATTCATCTGTATAAGGAACTCAGTATGGACGGATTACAGTGCATACAGTTACTTCGAAATTGTCACCATGGGTGACTTCGTTATGATTCTTGTCTTCTACATCGTTTACCTTTTCCGAGTTTACCGATTGCTGACTTGCATCAGCTGGCCACTTGCGGTAAGTTCCTGCTCATACCTGAACTAATTATGTTTTAACAGCATATCTGCTCACAACAGGACTCCATAAAAACAACTCTATTGCAAATTAAAAAGCCATGAAATGTGACTGTAGGAGTAGCATGTATACAATATACAATCGGGAGCTGCCGCGCGCCGGAGGAGTCCATCAGGAGCCTGCCGGGAGATGTCGTCGACCTGTCCTAAGGCGCCAGGAAGAAACAACGGAAGCCCGCCCGTGGAATACAACAGGACCGCGCCGCTCGGATGTCGATAGGTAGCCCCTCCCCCAGTCGAATTGTGGCCCTAGGATAGGAACTAATTAGGCACTTAGGCCATATACCTGTAAACCGCCCAGAGACCCTCGGGTAAAGGGCGGTATACAAATCGAAGATATAAATAAATACATAAATATTCAGTCACAATAGTCCTGTCCAAATAGCAGCTGCTGATAGTGAATTTGGAAGAAAGGTAGTATTATTACCCTAAACGGAACAATTACTTTACATATTAATTTGGTTCGGGGCAGGGAGAGTAGTCAGTTTCTCATCAAAACAACAAAGGCTCGTAAGGACTAAGTAATTAATTATGGCATTAATGTGTTCCAGAGTCTACTGATGAAGGTTTGGCTTGTGCCATAACACATTTGTTAGTCTTTCAGGTGCTATTAATTAAAAAAAAATAGTCTAATGTTTCTATCATCCACACCCCACATATGCTTTGTTCCAACTTTTTCTATCACTTGAGGAGTTTTGCAACGATGGCATTCCCCACAAAACCAGATTGCCTTAGAGGCTGTGATGTGAAGTGCCGTTGTGTCGTTCTCAAGTTTGCAGTTACCCACAGGACTCATCAGGACTGAGGAGCCCTGCCACAGAGTTCCCTCTTTGCTTCTTGTAGCGCCAGCCTTTTACCTCTTGGCCCTATCTGTTTATTCCTGAACGTTGTTCTGAGCATTCATTCCCTTCCCCACCCTAGAACCTGAGAGAAATTAATTAGGGTATTCCCAGATGGTATCTTTCTGAGCTACCAGTTGGGGTCCTAGTAGTATTCAATAGGGAGTGCAGAAGAGGTCCCAGGAAAGGCCACGTATGCCTGCCGTGGGCATCTTTGCTGTCACCGTATAGAGCCAGCCATATTAAGTGGAGTCTGGCTGTTGGCAGCTATGCTGACTTGCCAGGGACCAGCATGAACAATACAACACAGGAATCCAAAACCGGAGAATGTAACATGACCCCTCCTGAAGTGCTTGGGAAATGTGCATAATGGTCTTGTTAGTTTCAGCAGAGCAGCAGGCCTCTGCCTTTCATTTTAGGAGATATGATTAAGGGCAGAAAGAATGAATAGTCTACTTTCAGTTGCAAGTTTCCTTTTTCATTGGCTAGCGCTGGGCTGCTTTAGATGCATCATAATGGAATGTTCGTTTGATAAGGTTTTCTTTGGAACTGGATTGTGCTTTTTTTTTTTCTTTCTAGGAGTTTCTCCATTACCTAATAGGGACCATCCTGCTTCTCATTGCATCTTTTGTGGCAGCAGCAAAAAGCTACAACTCAGGAGGACTTGTAGCTGGAGCGGTGAGTCTGTTTCACTACTCTTTTAATAGTATGAAGAATCCACTGCCTGAATTTCTTTTGTGCGTTTGTCTTGTGGAATGGGATCTAAGAGTGCATGCAAGATTTTCCATAAAATTTGTTACTGATAACCTTGCAAGAAGGACGTGAAATCCACACTACAGCTTGGGATGTATCATTGTATCCTGATGTTGTATGTGCTTGTGAGAGAGGGATGTTGTGCAAAACCTTGACTTGGTTCATACCCTTATTGGGCTGGAAGAATTTCCCAGATACGCTTCTTAAGGTTCAATTTAGGTGGTCATGGTAGTTTCTATACCTTATAAGCAAATACAGCTGCGTGTTTTTATAGATAAGGCAAATGGCGATACTCTTGGGTTAAGTAGTACAATGACAGTTCACCTATTTACACTGGATGTTGTAAAGTTCTTTTTTGTTGTTTATTATTACGAAAAATTAAAATAAAAATTTTTCAGGACTTGGTTCATACTTTGTTCATTCCAAGGCACAGAGTGGTTTTTAAAGGTATGCAACTGGTCAAGGCACACAATGTTGAATCATGCCTTGTCTTGTGGTCGTCTTGATTCTCCAGTTGTGGAGCCATTTATTTCTTCAGGTGACTTTTTTGCTGTTACTTATCTCCATAGGCCTCTGCTAATTTATTTTAGCAGAAGTTAAATCTGGCCGCTTTATTATCCTAGTCATGTCACAAGTCAATCCAAGGTCTCTTCTCTTTCTTTGTAAAAAGCCATTCATGGGACTCTTTTTGTAGTGAATCAAGATAGTTATTCCCCTGCTGTATCGAATTGCGCTCCCCCCACCCCAAGCTCCTTTTCCAACTGACTAACTCACATAGTCCAGGTGACAGTGTGATGCAAGTGGAGACCAAGAGCATGGGTGAAAAGGGAAGTTGTAGAATAAATACCTCCTAAATGACTCAAGCAAAGAAGTCTTTGGAACCTGTGCAGGAAATGTTCACGATGGATTGTGGCCATGGTCCCTCCTTTTTCTCACAGTGCAGGAGATCTAAACACCTAATTTTAAAGTAGACCCTGCCAGTATGGTCAGAGTCCACCCAGGTGGGGTGTAGTATGGTGCCGTCACATGTATTTTAAGGGTTTTGGACCACAGCTTCTTGTGATCACCTCTCTTTTCCTCTGTCATAACTAGAATTTACATTAATTGACTGTAACAGCAGGACAGGTGAACATATGGATCAAATTGTTGGCATGCAAGAAATCTTGGGTAAATAACTATTAAATATTTGCTTAAGAGAGGGCTGTGTAAGAAAGCTTACTCAAAGTGGCTCAGTGTAATTTCTGGGTTTTTTTTATTTTTGCATTTGTGTGTGTGTGCACCCATGCCTGGAAGTCATGGTAACCTCTGGCGACTCCTACTGGGGCATGGAGGACATTCAGAGAGAAGTGGCTTGATAGCCTTCCTCTGGCCTCCCAGCCCTGGTATTCTCTGGAGGTTTCCCATCCACATACTTGCCAGGGTTGGCCCTGCTTAGCTTCCGAGACCTGACGAGATCGGGCTTGCCTGGGCTATCCAGATCAGGCCTTAAGTGTAACTTTTAGGTGTATATAAGATTATCTAAAGCAGACAGATTATACTGAATGTATTTCTTTTTTTTAACAGACATTTGGCTTTTTAGCTACATTCCTGTGCATCTTAAGTATATGGCTATCATACAAAGTTTCATGTGTGACTCAGTCAACAGGTAAGCATCTAGTCAACTATGTTGCACCAGTTTAGTACTGCACACTAGACACTTTACCCCCATATAGCTTAACTTGTGTTTAGCTAAACCCAGGATGGCCAGTCGGAAGTCAGGTTAATTGCATTATTGTCCGAACCCCATAATGTGTTGATGGTGAGCTACCAAGGTTTGGAATCCGTCAGATGGGGGGAGTGGCATGTGCACAGAAGTGCTTTGACATTCAGCCAGCTTCAATGAACATGGGAGCTAACTCTTCTGCAAACTCAGCCTATAGGCTCTGAGTGGAAGGCTGGTTATCAAGGAAGTACTTCTGCCTTTAGAGGTGCTGATTGGAAGATGGCAAGGCCAGCGATAATCTTGGCCATGAGAAATATTCTCTTGGCTGAAAGAGTCTGTAGATATTATACAATATTATACAGAACAAGAGGGAAGTATATACGACGTGCCATTGGTGCCTTCTCAATTTAAGAAATAATGTAACAATTACCTAGTTGCTTCGGAGAGTCATAAGGGTGCACCCCAATGTTTTCCCCCTTTCAGCCCATGGAATCATGAGGACAGGACCCGACAGATGGGAAGCAATAAGGGGGCAGACGAAGTGAAAAACTGCAGCAAAAAAGTACTATAAAAAGTACTATGAAAACAGCTCTTGTGAGGGGGGGAATTAAAAAGAGCAAGCTAGAATGAATGATGCATCTCTGAACTGAAACATGTATGTGGGATACATATACAGACAACAGCTTCCTCGGTATTGTAGCAGTAAGCCAGGAAATACCTCAGGCAAGTAGAAAATTGGGTATGGTGGCCTGTTATTTCCTGATGAATCGCGGAAGGCATGTTCTTGCAAATTAGTCTCTGCTGCAGGAGATTCATACTACAGGGCAGGTGTTTGAGACATGTTGTGTATCACAAGATGGCTCTGTTACAGTTTGTTTTTAATGCTTAATGCTGTTTAAATTTTGTATATGATTTTTATGGTACAGGGTACCAACGCTGTAAGCCGCCCTGAGCCCACTTGTGGGGAGGGCGGGGTATAAATAAAAATAATAAATAATAAATCACAAATCATAAACTGATTCCTTTCTGAAGAAACATCTTTCGCCAGCTAGTGTATCTCATTCCCTCAACACCTGACATCTGATTTTGCATGTACTACCACCAAGACATGACCTCTGATTTTGCATATATTACCACCAAGATATAGCTATGCATGTTTGTCCTTAAATATATGTAAGACCCTAAAAAAATCAGAATGTGTTTGCTCATTAGCAATCTTAAATGCAGGAAAGACAAAAATATTTTAAATACACTTTTAAAAATCAACTCCAGATTCCAGTCAGTATTATAATTTAACAGTTGATCTTTAACAGCTATGGGCTGAGAATCTTCTGAAAGGTATTTTATGTCTCAGCTTTTTTCACCACATACTTTAGATTGTTAATCTCATCTAGCTTTGGTTGCTGTGGTGGCTCAAGTGGTTAAGATGCTGAACTGGAGACCAGAAGGTTGGTAGTTCAGCAGTTCGAGACCCAAGTGTCGCATGGCGCAGTGAGCTCCCGTCTCTGGTCCCAGCTCCTGCCAACCTAGCAGTTCGAAAGCAAGAAATTGCAAGTAGATAAATAGGTACCACTTCGGTGGGAAGGTAACAGCATTTCGTGCACCTCTGAGTCTAGTCACGCCGGCCACATGACCACGGAAATGTCTTTGGACAGCACTGGCTCTTTGGCTTGGAAACAGAGATGAGCACATCCCTAGAGTTGGATTCGACTGGCTTTCGAGTAAGAGAAACCTTTACCTTTACCTAGATTTGGTATTTGTATAGAAATTGTGATAAATGTTGCAGTTGCAACATGTAATAGTTAGAATTGCACTTATCTGGAAGGAGGACTCGCTGCTTCAAGGTGCATCTTGATCAACGCAAAAAGATTATATTTGGTTGGTCTGTCAGCCCAAGTCCAGCCATTCTCTGAGTGATACAGAAGATCCAACTGCCCATGAACCATTTGCAGAACTTTCCTGTTAATGTAATGTTGATGGTACAAGTCAGATGCCTCCTTTCGTTTGTCTTTTTAAAGATGCTGCTGTGTGAGTCTTCTGTCCCTGCTAGACCAAAGAGGGGAGTTTACATTAAGCCCAGATAAGAGACGGCTAATGTGTGCAAGATGGGACAGTGCAATGGTGGTCTTTGAGGATTCGGCTCCCAAGCATCAAGGGGACGGCCAGCAGAATTCTGCCTTCTGAAACTCTGCTCAGGTTCTCAACCTACAAGTGGGTCCAGCAGTCCATATGCTGCCTTTTCCTAACAGCTGTTGCACAGTTTGTTGATCATCTGCTGAGGATCTTGAATCCCACAAGTATGGAGTTGCTGTATTTCTGCACCCTGATACACACATACTCACTCACTCACACTTTGATTCCAAAGTGCCAATGTGAAAGGTTGCATTGCCTAGATAGTATGGCACTGCCATTGCTAGGAGCATACTCCTGTCGTCTTTTGCATCAACAGTATTCAAACCACCTGGGAAGCTCGGTTGAATGAGGACCTGCATAAACTATCAGGATGGAAAATGTATTCTGCTTCTTTGATTCTCCAGTTATGGCTGGCAAATGCTATAGATCTACTATGAATCAGCAACTGTAAACTTATCAGTGGCTGTCTAATGAGCGTATCTGTTGCCTTGGCCTCTTTCCTGGCTTTTGGTGCTTATTGCTAGAAGAGGTATTTTGTAAAATGCAGCTTGAGTGTCTTACTGTGAATGAACCAGAGTTTGTTTTGTAGTCCTGTCTAATTTAAGTATTTTACTGATGACCAAATTATTTTAAAACCTGTAATTTTAGCTCAAAACCCACTTGTTTTATTTCCTGATACACTAGCCTCATTGCATGTATACCCCTTCTTTGCCAAGATCTTGTCTATAACATCCTATGGTGATCTTGCCTTCTTCCCTCCGTCACGTGCAGGAATTTCCCTTCTGCCTTCTTTTTTTGCTGAGTAGCCCCTTTATCTGTTTTCTTCTTAAGTGTTTGTCTGTGGATGTCCCACCTAGTCGCTATATGTAAGTATGTATATATGATGCTGGCCCAGCTCAGGGACAAAATCACCTTCTTATATTCTGCTTTTGAAATGGCACGAGAGGCTTTTGAAAGTTCAAAATAAAATGTTTTATTGGAGGCGGTCATGTGGAATCAAGTGTAGGATGTGTGACGTAAACCAATAATAAAACTGAGGTCACTTTGTATTCACATAAACACCAGATAATTTGTTGCTAACAAGTGTTTCTGCTATTCAACAGTGTCTTTAAAACTTTGAGGAGAGAGGCTTTCTTTTCAGTTTCTGCTTAAATATTCAAGCATAGGTTTCTGAGTTTTGCTGACACTTAGGGTTTAGAAGGCAGGAACATATAACCAATTTCCCAAAATCTTTCTTCACTAGAAGCTATTTCCCTTCTTAACTGAGTAGGGATCATGTCTTTATTAGAAGCTATTTCCCTTTTTTGGCTTGAATGAGGATCCTCCTTGATCCACTTGCTCTCTTAGCCTCCTTCCCAGTCCACAGCCAGTGCTTAAATGTCTCTTTGTCAACTGTCAGTTCCCAGCTATCATTCCCTAACTGACTTCTCAACAGAATTCCCTTCCAACAGCCTGTCACTCAAATGGTTGTCCTGTCAGACCACTGTGGAGAGTAGCTGTGAGAGCCAGTTTGGTGTAGTGGTTAAGTGCTCGGACTCTAATCTGGGAGAACCGGGTTTGATTCCCACTCCTCCACTTGCACCTGCTGATGTGACCTTGGGTCAGTCACAAGCTCTGGCACAGCTGTCCTTGAAAAAGAGCAGTTTGTGTCAGAGTTCTCTCAGCCCCACCCACCTCACAGGGTGTCTGTTGTGGGGAAGCGAAAGGAGTTTGTAAACCGCTCTGAGACTCCGAGTGATGGGCGGGGTATAAATCCAATCTCTTCTTCTTCTTCTTCTTCTTCTTCTTCATCTGAGTCCATTTAACTAGGACTCATCCAGCCAATCTGCTTTTGCTTTGCTAATGAATCATTTAGCAGTGGTGTCAAAAACAGTTACTCTTCTGGAAGGTGGTGCTTTTCCATGGCAGTCCTTTGTTTTCAGTCTTCAAAACACAGTTATTTTGTTGTTCCTGGAAAATGTGACTTCTCCCTCTTACTTCCCACATTTTCCCCCCAGTGCACAGTGCTGTGCGGTTTTAATGACACTAGCTCATACTCAACAGTGCCAATATAATCACTGATTAACAACTTTGTTACTTCGTTCAGTTGAGAAGTGCCCATTGCTTAATTCATTCTGGAGAAGCCAAGCATAAAAGGGAGCCTCTCTTCCACTAACTTTCAGTCCTGCTCTGAATGGACTGCAGTTTTACATTTTAACACCTGGCATAAAGAAGGAAGAGAGGGATGTACATAGAGCTCTAAAGAATTGTTCTAAAAAGAGAGGATCCTCCTAGACATGTCTGGAAAAATCACAGAGAACCAGAATACGGAAAAACAGAATTTGAGTAGGACATAAAATACCCTTATGCAGTAAGTTATCAGGCATACATGTAGTGCCAGATATTACAGTACCCTTTGTGGGGTATAAGAACATAAGAGATGCCAATGTTGGATCAGGCCAAAGGCCCATCCAGTCCAACACTGTATCACACAGTGGCCAGAAATACCAGTGCCATCAGAAGGTCCACCAGTGGGGCCAGGACATTAGAAGCCATCCCACTGTTGACCCCCCAAAGCACCAAGATGACAGAGCATCACTTGCCCCAGAGTCCCTATCTATACCTTGTGGCTAATAGCCACTGATGGACCTCTGCTCCATATGCCTATCTAATTCCCTTTTGAAGCCGTCCATGCTTGTAGCTGCCACCACTTCCTGTGGCAGTGAATTCCAAGTGTTAATCACTCTTTGGGTGAAGAAGTACTTTCTTTTATCCGTTCTAACCCGACCGCTCAGCAATTTCATGGAGTGCCCACGAGTTCTTGTATTGTGAGAGAGGGAGAAAAGTACCTCTTTCTCTACCTGCTCTGTCCCATGCATAATCTTATAAACCTCAATCATGTCACCCCTCAGTCGTCGTTTCTCCAAGCTAAAGAGCCCTAAGCGCTTTAGCCTTTCCTCATAGGGAAAGTGTTCCAACCCCTTTATCATTCGAGTTGCCCTTCTGAAGTCCCACTCAACACAGGTGCAGTGTGTAAAAATCAAAAAAGGCCATTAAATATCCTAATGGGAAGTAGTCTGGAGAGATGGCAAATGTCTGGACAGATCTACACTTCAGGGTTATTCTGCCACCAGCTTGCCTCCTGTTATTCTACACAGAGCTTGAAACTAGGCTTACAAGTGAGGTATAAGACTTGGTGGTCATGTGCCCAAGATGAAGGGAGGAAGAAAGAGCTGCCAGTAAAATGTAGGCTTCAAGATAATGGCTCAGATTGTAACTCCTCACATAGTCCTTAAAATAAAAGTGAAGGGCAGCTCAACAGTCGCTCACGTATAATGGCAATATTAAAAGGCTCTTGGAGTGTGAGGGTAGACTGCATTTGCTCTAACTAGGGGCTGGTGTGTTGTTCTGATAAGATATACTAAAAAAAAAGCCGAATCTGTTTTTTTTTCTTTAAAACTTTCATGGGATTACTTATTAGTGAGGGAAAGGCAGTTCTGTATAATTTACCAGCTCCTGTCTGATGTCATCTGTTAGCCCACTGGGTAAGCACTATACCTTTTCTGCTTTGGCTAGTAGCTAGCTTACTAGCTGTAGGGAAAACAAGAGTGGGCTTTATGCCCCATCAGTAATGTCAGGCAAGTTAGCTGAGTAAAGTGAATCCTTACCTCTAATGGGTCAAAGTTTTGGTACCAACATCAAACACACTAAAGGTTTGGTACCCACATCAATCACACATTAGAGGCTAAAGTGAGGCAATATCTTGATGGGCCCACTACTGTCCAGAAAGTCAGGAATGTGTGTGTGTGTTTTTGTAGTACAGAAATTGTCACAGCAACAGTGTTCCAAACTGTTAAAGATCTAGATGAAGTTCTAGATCCAACTGTTGACATGTTAAAGGCCAGCAGTAGACAAGAGTCCAGAGACACAGGCTTGCTTGGTGGGCTCCCTTCTCCCTGCACCAGCTATCTAAACAAATTTACGAAAGGGTTACTTCCTTCCTCCAGACAATGTTGATAACACTGCCCTTTTGGTTGTGTTAACGGCCGAGGCAGTGTCCAGTGTATTAAAAATATCAACGCAGAGCACTTAAAAAGCTCGGCAATGAAATGGTACTCTAATGAACAGCGGCATTAAAATACTGAAAAGACCACCAGCAGCAAAATATTAAACTCAACATACAACACAGAAAATAGCTCAAGCGGTATGGTGAGGAAAAAATGAGCAAAAAGCCAGCTGGGGGAAGAAACCTTTTACTTAGTGCCAGGCAGATGTCTGTAGGGTGGGGACTTTCAGAGTTTAGGTTCCACAGTGGCAAATGACTCTGACTCATCCCTTGGGGCCATCCACAGCAGGGCTTTCCTACTTCTCTTTAACTGAGGGGGGGAGGGGGCTCCAAGGGGAGCAGACAGTTCTTTCAAGTAGGCACGAAAGTTCTCTGAACTCTGCCAGCCCCCATAATGCACTGAGGCACTGCAATTTTGGTCCACTTGAAAGCAAATTCTTATCATCAGGAAGAATACAAAGGATCCTCAGTTAACAAGATCCTTGTTCATGCCCTCATAGTTCTGCTTCCTTCCCCCCCCCCCGAAACATTTTTACACATGCGTTGCCTCGTCAATCAACGGGACTCCACAATCTAGCTTTGTGCTTGCATCTTTGTGGCAATTTGGTGCATAAGAGTTTGTTACTGTATTTCATGGCTTTTAATGACCCCTCACCCCCAAAATCCCAAACCCAGAACGTTCCAGCAAACACATATCCTGTTTCATGTCTACACTGTGTAGAGTTGTCTCACTCTCCGCCATTGTTGAGCCTGAGGCAGGCCTTGCATCTCTGGAGTGAAGGGAAGGGCTTCCCTCCCCTGCTCTCTCCCCACACGGCATAAGGTTCAGTAGCTCAGGCAGGCGTGTGAGATGGCCAAGGAATCCAGAGGAGAACAAGCTGGCTGTGGAGAAAAGGTACTAAAATCCTCTCCACCTCCCACTAGGGTCAGCTTGCTCTTTTCCCAAGTGGCTGCCATGTAATGGTGACTTTACTGTCTCTGCAGCCAGCTTGCTGTCTTCTGGGCAGCCACCTGGGTGCTGGGATGAGTGCAGGGGCTGCAGAGGGTGAACCCTTTACATCTGTCCCTGGCCCAATGGTCACAGCTCTGGGAAGCTTGCAGCTTACCCATTCTCTGGTCTCTGCAGCATCTGTTTCAAGGTGGGAACCGCCTGCCAGTTACAAGCTCTGCTGTGGAATGGCCTTGCCCACTGTCCTGGAACATGGGGGAGGGCTACATTTGGAACTGATGTTCAGAAGAGCCACACGTGGTTCCTGAGTCACTAAGTATCACTGCTTTAAGATGTTTTCTTTTTGCTCTAGCAGCCTTGATGGCAATCGCCAGCTAGATACAGTGAACGGAACAGCTGATTAGCAGGTAAAGCTGCATCTTGTTTTTCAGGTGTCTTCGCTGTTCATCTTCTACCCAGCTCTCATTTGGTGAAATGTTCTTAAGTCTTAGCAAGATCACAAAGCTCCAGACTGCTGCATGAGCAAAAGCAAAATCCAAAAACAGGAGCCATGGAATATCTTTTATTAGGACCATCCAAAAACAATGCACAAGCTTTTGAGTTCTCTAGAACTATTTATCAGACTTTTTTTAAAAAAATCCAGTGTGGGGAAGAATTCTGGAGAAATGAAAAGCCTGCATGCTGCTTTGTGTAATTTTTGGTCGATCCTAATAAAAGATATTCCACAGTTCCTGTTTTAGGATATCACAGGGTAATGCTTTCTGTACTGGCCAAGATGAACATTTAACCCTGGGTTTCTGAACCTTGTTTGGCCTGCAGGGCACTTCTAGAGCTGTGAGACAGGGTGGTCGGTGGCATCCTCAGCTGGGTGGTAGCAGGCTGGTTCTGCTGTCCAGTTGATTGGCAGTGAGGTGAAGGAGGAGCAGCTTTTTCTGTGC